ACTTCTTGCAGCAAAGCACAGCCGATGGCATACAGCTTATTCGTGCGCATGCACACAAGCACTGCTCTTAAATGAATGTTTTGGCTTTCCACAATCATCCTCCTGTGCCCCGCACGACTGCGGACGAAGATGTCGTCAAAGTATGTTTGTGCATATGCCCGAGGGGAACTGAACAACTCACAAGACTCTTTTATGTTGCTGGTGCATTTGACAGCCTTTGGGATATCACCAGCCACACCCAGAGCATCGCTGTCAGCGAAGAACCTCTTGCTCGCATTAGCAATTGGTGATAACCAACGACCAAGTCGAGTACGCGGTACTTTGTAGAGCCAACCATATTGTTTTGATGAACACCCTTTCCAGAAATCGGTATGTGTGCCGAAATGGTGGCAGCGTTTAGTTTATTGTAAGCGTGAATGATACGCCATTTGCCGTTCGGCTTCCGGACACAAAACGTGGGTGTCGAATGGGGAGACTTGAGCTCTCACACCACTCCTGCATCGTGCTTTGCACGAAAAAAGGCATCGATGACGTCACACTGCTTCTTGGGCAGAGGTATTGGCGTGTCACGCAGTATTTCATTCCCGGAAACCTGGTCGATCTCATGACGCACACCTCGGTTCAGAGGTAGGACCGACGGCGGGTCTTAAGAGACGACGTCTTGGAATTCCTTTACCAAAAATTAGTATGGATCCAAAGAACCATCAGGATCGACGATCCACTTTGTGCGTTCAGCACCCTCCTAGTGTCTTCCAGGACAGCTTCGTCTAGAAGCGACGATGTGTTAATCTCCTCGTTCGGTCGTATAATGACCACCTCGGCTATCTTGTCATCCTACAAGACACCGCCAAACTCTTCGAAGGACATCTCGTCCAGCTCGAGAAGAGCATCCTTCGCAAGGATAGCGTCGAGGGTGACGTCGCCGTCTTCCTCCCCTGTCATGCCGTTGACAAGGGTATTTAGCTGTGGGCTATCGTCTACGGTAGACACACACTTGGTCAGGGTCGACGGTCTGCATCTTGCAGATAGAATACGGCTTCGCCCTCATCTCTTTTTGGAGGTTTAAATGTTTTATCAAGACCAGTAGGAACACATACTCGGCTTCTCGGCGTCGTCCAGTGACCCCACTCTCTGCTCCAATGGAGCCTTGATGTTACTAGCAACTTCCGACAAAGAGCTGTTATTCCCGTAGTCTTCGTCCAGTGGAATATGTGCCACTCTACGCGCTTCAGAAGGGCCTTGCCCAAGATGTCTCGGATGTTGTCAGACGATTCCACTGTGAGCATTTAGCAGCTGCTTCGAAATGTGAGCAGTGCTCAGTGGATCACGTGCCACTGCACGCGCATCACGAGGGCCTCGTCTAAGATGCCTTGGACCTAGTCAGACTATGCCATTCTTGGTATGCAGCGACTGCATTGCAACGTGAGCAGTGCTCAGTGGGTTACGCGCCACTCCACGTGCATCACCAGGACCTCGCTTTTGATGCATCGGCCTTTGGCCGACCATGCAGCAGCGGCTTTGTTTCACTATCAGTGCTCACTGGGTTACTTGCCACTTCACGTTCAGCCCACGAGGCCTCTCGAGACTCTTGTCTAAAACACCTTCGGTGTTTGACAACTCGGGTACTCCGATATCCAGCATATTGACCGTCTCTGTCCAGTGTCCGCGCCAAGGACGCTTCTGCTTTTTAGCAGAAGTGGGTTCATGACTCACAAAAGATCCACCAGGAGACGAGCGCGAAGCACCCAGGGTTCTTGACCTCCAATCAATCCATGGCTCATGGTGTTCCAACCGGTTTTCCTGATTAGTAAAAAAGCGTAACAAGCATTTAATCTACATTACTATTGCCACGTGATGGCTTCTTGTTACGGTGTAGCCACACCGTCGTATGACTACAGCACTTGTATAGTCCACACACATACGGTCACATCCTCTTGTGTGACCGCCTTTTCAAACAAGGGTACGTGTAACTTTGTTACACTCTGAGTACATGTAACCCCATTTTATGTTTCGCATTGCAAACGCGAGTGATGGTATGTGTGTAGCGTTAATACATACTCTCAAAGAGCATGGAGTCTAAATGCTTGGACAAAGAATTGTCGGCGCGTTTGCGCGCACGGTTACACCGATATTCGTTGGGTAAGGGGTTGTTGTGTTGCAGCGCCGCTTTAACGGATACGCCACAGATTATGTTCTCTTGAGATGAGGATTGGAAATACCGTATCCTCTTTGAGGCCCACGACACCCCACTCAATGGTCATCTCGGTCGTGATATGACGTACAGCTCGGCGAGTTGCCACTATTGGTGGTCCGAGCTGTACAAAAGGACGATCACGTATGCGCGGACGTGTGAGACGTGTTAGGGGGCGAAACTCTCTCTTAATGCGGCGGCGCCCCTGGTTTGTTGACCTGTACTCTCCGGGTATTAGCAGTCCATGTGTATGGAATTTGTGTTAGGCCTGCCAAAGGCCTCGGCGGGTAACACGGGTGTAATGAGTTTTGTGGCACGTTTGAGCAAGATGGTTCATCATGCGGCAGTGCTGGACACCATCGACGGCGCGGGTACAGCGACACTGTTTGTGGATCGTGGATCTCGACAACACGGACTCCCGGAATCAATAGTCTCTGACAGAGACCCGCGCTTCACTGGGAAATTTTGGTCGACAATCTTCTGGGTGCTGGGCACCAAGTTGACTATGTCAACAGCAGAAT